CCCCCCCCCCAAAAAAAAACCACCTCTGCCAGCTCTTGCAACAGCCGACTGTTTTCCCGGACAGCCTCAAAATGGCATGACAATGTGAGAAGGAGGCCTGATGGGAAGTTTCTAGTCTTCTTAGGTTAAAAAACAAACAAACAACAACAACAAAACAAAAAACTTACTTAAATACCAGAAGGTAAATAAGAGAGGCTTCGATTTATTTTTAAAAGAAACAAAGCTAGGCTTTAAACCGCACTGCAGCGTTTTTCAGAGCATGACTCACAGCCAGCTAATGCTCGGGTTGAAAACCCTGCAGGCAGGAAGCGCTGGGCAGGCCCTTGTGGCTGCTGCTCCGAAAGCAGGCGCCCAAGTTACATCCCTCGCCTTAACCCGGCTTCTGGGGTAAGGAGCCGAGGGCAGCTCCTTGCTCTAGAAACAAGCCCCGGCACGATTTAGAGCACCCAGCTTCTTGCACTGGTTTTCACGGGGCCCGTCTGAGCTCCGCGGCGGAGGCGGCCGCGCTGAACACGCCGACACTCATTTGGCTAGATCCCAAGCGCAGCGTGTCCGGCCGCCTCCAGCCGAATGTGCTTCCTTAAGGCAGTGGAGCTGCTTGCCTGACTGTGGTGGTTTAACATCTTTGCTCCAGTGGGATTTCTTTTTTCCATGCTCACATTCATGGGACTAATGCATGGGTGTGAGGTCCCTGCGCTACAGACATCGTCATCCTCTCCACCCACTCACCCCGAGCTAGCCACAGTCCTGTGTTTCCTGAGCTTCTGTAATAGCAGCTACAGCTGCTACTGCTTGGTGCATACTTCCCTCTTCTCACGGCAGCAGCTGTATAGCGCATCTGACCCTTTCCTGTGCACATAATCGCTGTGGTGACCTTTAAAGAAAGTAAAATATTTGCCTCAGCATTTCTTGCCTGGGTTCCCAACGCTGGTTTTGTCCCCTGGGCCCCGAGTTGTGTGCAAAGTTACCTAACTTGTGCACAGAGCTGCAGACAGCATATGTTTCGGTCTGGTATAAAGACACATATTATAATTCTGTGTGGTGGGGGCTGCTGTGCTTCAAATGGACAGAACAGATCAGTACAGTAGTTTTGGGTTTGGCAAAAGTAGTAGGGATTTTTTTATTATTATTATTTTTTAATTTTTTTAGAAAGCCAGCAGTGCAGCTTGTTATTGGGCACACTGGGGAATCAGGCAGGTCCTGGCCCAGAAGGTCAAGGCTGGGGTTGGAGGGGGGGAATTTCAGGACCAAAGAGCATCCCCGAAGGGCTCTGCTAGAAGCTATGCGCTGGACACTTCAACTGTAGCTACCTTGGCATCATGCGGTAGTCATGTCCTCAGTCGTTTAAGGCAAGACAGGAGCCTAACCAATGTCCTAAACAACCTGAGACACAGCTGGTAGCCAGGTCAGGTCACTGAGCGCAATGGTAATGGGATTAGAAATGCCTCTGTGTGCGAGGCAGCTGCCCTCACCTGCAGCTTCCGAGGATATGTGAGATGTGATTGCAGCACAGCCTTTCCTCCAGAAATAAATAGTGCTGATGCACGTTCAATAGTTGCTGCTTACAGGCCTTGCAGAAATAGCTGAAGAATCAACCAAGCCCTCAAGTGAGCAACAAGGAATTAAGAAAGACCTGCTCCCTTGCTCAGGAGAGTGGGTGTCTTTTCTTCTGCAGGCTGGTCTTCATTCTTAGCAGCACCAACTCGCAGGCCCCCAGTTTCTGTTCAGGCATTGAGCTCCAGGGGACCCTGGCTAGGTGCTGCACTCACTGGCTGAGATTCGTGTCCGGGCACAAGCAGCACTTGCCTGGGTCACCGCTTCCCGTGATAGACCCTATCGACAGCCCCAGCTCTGCCCGTCATGGTCAGACCTTGTGGGACTTGCTAACCAGCCAGAGACATCCCTGCCTGCTACGCTTTCTTAAAACCCCAGTTTATTTGCAGAAGTGCTATTACTCCTTCAAAGACACCCGAGAGCATGCTGGGCAAGAAGCACCTGGGGCTGCTGTGGGCTGCCCCAGCACTTTGCACGACAGTGGGGCCGCAGCAGCTGTGGCTGCAGCCTGGGGAAGAGCTGGGTTCCTAAAGAAAAAAGTTGGGTGCCTGCATTTGAATTCTTCAAAAACAAATTCCTCTCACCTTGAAAACCAGCTCAGCTTTTTTGGCACTTACGTCCCATTAGCAGCCTCTGCTAAGTGGCTGAATTTGTGCGGCTGGATGTATGCAAACCTAAGTCTTGATCAGATGCCTGGCAAGCTGTGACAGCTCATTACACGGTTTTTTGATCGCTGTGCAGGCCCAGGTTTCGGTGCTGTGCACTGCAGCCTCACAGCCCCTTCAAACCATACCAGCAACAGCCACCACTTTCCCTTTCATGGCGAGTTGTGTCCCCAGGTCATCTCACCCCGCGGCGGCGCAAGCGTTCACGCAGCTCAGCCATGAGCTGTGATGGTGACCTGATCTAGGTGAAAAACAATTATTTTTTTTTGCTGCTGGGTTGCTTTTCCTGCACTGGGACAATCTCCCCAGCTGGGTTGGTTGCAGAGCTGCGTGACCTAGGAAGGCGGCAGCAGGCGCAGGAGCTGCGGGGCACCCGGCGGGGGGCAAGTCTGCCCTCGTGCCGCTGCAGCCGCAGAGTGGCCAGGATGCCAGCTGCCCAGGAGGGTGCCGCCAGGCAGAGACAACAGCCGTGTCCCTCCTTGCTGACTGGGCTCAGCCACGGGAAGGGATTCCTGGGGCGATGCCCATCCCAGGACCCCAGCTCCTTCCCTCACCCCAGGTTTAGGGGAGAGGAGAGAAGGAGGGAGCGGAAACAGGTCTAAGAGACAGAAAGGTCTAAGAGAGGTCTAAGAGACAGAAAGAGATCAAACCAGAGGACCCCTGCAGCCACGTGAGTCAGGTAAAGCCCTCGTATTTGAAATCCCAGTCCAAGGGCCCTTTGGTGGCCTCCCCTCCCTCCTTGGATGTTAAGTCAACTCAGAGGGACCTCAGCCCGTCCTTGCACCAGCAAGTCCCAGAAAAACCTGCTAAGTGCCAGTGAAC